TGACATGCCCTGACATTTGTGCTTTTTTCAGTTGCTTATAAACATTTTAATGGCTAAAGACATGTGGCTAGACATGTCAAGCTTTCAAGCTTTCTTTAGATACAGTATATATCTCATGTCTCTTTGTCGAGTATTCGCTGAGTTTGTTCATTTTAATGACTCGTTTCTAAATTAAGATCACGCAGACCAAGGCGGCGGACCGCACACCCTGTTTGTTTTCTTTATTTTATAAAAGCACAAAGTTTTGTTATGTGTGTATACAAATAAAAGTAGACCATTTACAGATTCGATTGATGTATTGCTCTTATCTGTACGATTAAAACTGACTGAGTAATTTAAAGGGGTCATATGATGCTGCTAAAAATAACATTATTTTGTGAAATAAACAAATTACAAGCATAGATAAATAACAGAACAAAGATACAAATGAAATAAGCAGTGCTTTATATTTTTCAGGTAAGTCTAACAGTATTCAGGTACAGAAATTGAATAATCAAATGTAAAATAACACTGCATAGTTTTCACTATAAATTAAATCTAACAAATCTGTGTTTAAGCTACAAAAGTGATTTTTCTTTGTGTTTTGTTGTTTGATTCACGTTCATGACAGAGAAAGCAACAGGAACATTAAACTGCTGTGAACCAATATACTGTTACACATCCATTTTCTTTCTCAATTGTTTACCTTCACCTAAGCCATAAGCATCGGTGTTTATAAGGATACTTGCAGAGCACAGTATTTCAGGCACAAATGGACGCAAAAGTGAACAGAAATCAGTGTTTACGTGCATCTGCGTGGCTTTCACTGTGTCTACACCGGATGCGAGCGGCGCGATTAAAATTCAATAGAACCCATTATAATCAGTGATGCTGTGTGACTGACTACACTGTATTGCGCGCGACACGACAAATCCCGACTGTAAACTGATGCGTCGTTCTATTTATGACGTACTAACACAAAGTTCAAATGAAAGTATTAAAACTTTCCACCTAGGTACATCTCCACACCTGTGGGCACAGTTTAGCACATTTGGCCTTGGTGCAAAATGGGGACAAGTGACTTGCTCATTCCTTAATGTCCTGACTGTGTGCTTCATCTTGTCCTGCTTCAGAATGCCTGTGAGCATCGATACTTTATCATGGCACCACCTGTACTTTCCCTGGGTCACTGCTGCCTTGCAACCTGACAGGATGTGTGCCTTTGAGGCCCCTTGACTCTGCTGAGTTTGCAAACTGAGACTTTTCACAATCACCATCTGTGCAAATTCTCCAGGGATTAGAGGGCATTGTAGACCACCCTAAATAGAAAAGCTTGAAAAAGTCTCCAGTAGGGCTGCCACTAATGACTATTTTTATTTTGATTAATCTATCGACTAATTTATCGATTTATTGATTAATCTAAACGATTAATTTCCCACAAAAAAAAATCAACTATTTTATTAAACTTTCAACTTTGCCATTCTGTAGTGTACCATAAACAAGTATAAATGTAAACAAGCCATTGACGAAATGTAAAACTAAAAGAGTAAAAATTTAAACAAACCTAATAAAAATGGAATAGAAAATAATTACAAAAGTTTGAGAAAGTCAGCATGTTCTTAATGTCAATATATCCACATGTTCTAGGCTTCTGTTCATTATAGCTGTGAGTGCAACTACAAAGGGGGAAAAAAATTTAAATTAACCCCAACAGTTGGGTTTTCACATTAAATAAATGCAGTGTTTAGAGTCCACAGAATCAAGTATTAAAATTTTATTATTATTATTAACAATTTTAAGTATTAAAAGTACACGTAGAAATGTGTAAACAACAGATTTAAACAGACATCTCCAGCATGATGAAAAAAATTAACAGAGGACTTCAGTAGTGAAACTCCAAATGAAATCCAAATTTCTATGAAATCCTTTTTTTAAAGCAAAAGTAAAGTGCAACATAGAGTGCAAGAAGCAAGTGTCCATCTCATAGTCCAAATCACTGAAATCAAAGTTCAGTATTATAGTGTAAGAATAACAACATGTCCACATGTTCTGGTCTACTAATAATAACATATTTTAAAATACTGTATGTAATAGAACCACTGATCTATATGTAATCATAAAATTATATAATAATCTCTATTATAGATCAGTGAATAGAGCTAATTTACAGTACGCATTACAACAAAGGCCTACAGGGGGCGCCAACGGCCTGATGATTGTTTTTACATATTATTGTGCGATCTAATACTTGTTTAATATTTACCAAGCATCTTTTAATTCAAATGTCCACTTAATCTTTAATATTTGGCCATTTCTTTACGACAGAAATGCTATAGCCACTGTAATTTAATGAATATGTGGACATCAAAACGTGTAAACTCAGAGTGAG